GACCTTTCCTAGCCACCGGTCGTATTCTCATCGATTGCGAGAAGGGCGAGCTAACCATACGAGTGGCCGATCAACAGATCACTGTTAATGTTTTCCGATCTCTCAAACACATGGATGATTATGAAGAATATCAGAGCATTTTTGAGGTAGACACTGAAATTACAAAAGAGGCAGATCAATTTTGCCACGATAATTTCATTCAGCTAGATATTGATGAGAGGCTCCTTGAAGAGCCGAATGACTTTTCATCCGAGGAACAGCAGGCTAGCTTCCTTAAAGCTAGCCCAGGTACGCGCTTTGAACCTTTGAATTTCGAAGAGTTTGTTCCTCCTAAGCCCTCATTATAGCATGCACCTACCCTTGAACTTAAAAATTTGCCACAACATCTTAAATATGCTTATCTGGGTAGTAATGACACTTTGCCTGTGATTATTTCCTCAGCCCTTACTCTTAACCAAGAATCTAGTTTGCTAAGTGTTTTGTCACAGCATAAGAAAGCGTTAGGGTGGACGATGGTAGATCTAAAGGGAATAAGTCCAACAATTTGCATGCACAAAATTTTACTGGATGAATGCCACGGCAAATCCATAGAGCCACAGCGAAGATTAAATCCAATCATGAAGCACGTTGTGATGAAAGAGGTTCTCAAATGGCTCGATGCTGGAGTGATATACCCTATTTCGGATAGTTCGTGGGTCAGTCCCGTCCAATGCGTGCCTAAAAAGGGAGGCATGACCGTGGTAACGAGCGAAGGAAATGACTTAATACCTACTCGCACTGTCACTGGATGGCGCATCTACATGGACTACCGCAGGCTTAACAAGGCCACCAAGAAGGATCATTTTCCTTTGCCATTCATCGATCAAATGCTGGATCGACTTGCGGGCAAGGCATACTATTGTTTCTTGGATGGTTATTCAGGGTATAATCAGATTGCCATAGCACCAGAGGACCAAGAGAAGATGACATTCACGTGCCCGTATGGCACATACGCTTTTCGAAGAATCCTTTTTGGACTCTGTAATGCCCCGACAACTTTTCAGCGTTGCATGCAAGCCATCTTTTCTGACATGGTGGAGGATTTTTTGGAAATTTTTATGGACAATTTTTCTGTTTCCGGAGACGATTTTCAAAAATGCCTCGGCAATTTGGCAAAGGTATTGAAGCGATGCGAGGAGGCTGATCTCGTACTAAACTGGGAAAAATACCACTTCATGGTGACTGAAGGCATTGTTCTAGGACATAAAATTTCTGCAAAGGGCATTGAGGTCGACAAGGCTAAGATCGAGGTGATCGAGAAGCTTCCCCCACCAAATTCTGTCAAGGGCATTCAGAGTTTCCTTGGCCACGCTGGTTTTTACAAACGATTCATCAAGGATTTTTCCACACTATCCAAGCCTTTGTGCACCTTGCTACAACAGAACCAACCCTTTGTGTTCGATCAGAAATGCCATGGCGCATTCAAAGAGCTGAAGCAGAAACTTATCTATGCACCAATTGTAGTTCCCCCAGATTGGACGGCCCCATTTGAATTAATGTGTGATGCAAGTGATTTTGCCGTGGGAGCTGTGCTTGGGTAGATTAAAGGTAAAATCTTTCATGTCATATATTATGCTAGCCGTACCTTAAATGATGCACAATTAAATTACACAACCACTGAGAAAGAATTACTTGCCGTGGTATTTGCATTTGACAAATTTAGGCCATACTTGATAGGCACCAAGGTTATAATTCACACTGATCATTCAACTATAAAATATTTAGTGAACAAGAAAGATGCCAAGCCTAGACTGATCAGGTGGATATTACTTCTGCAAGAATTCAACTTAGAGGTAATTGATAGGAAAGGTACTGAAAATCAGGTTGCAGACCACTTATCTAGGCTAGAAAATATTTCAGAATGCCATGACATTTTTGATATTAAAGAAGAATTCTCTGACGAGAAAATTTTATATGCCACGGCAATTCCGTGGTACGCTGACCTGGTTAACTTTCTTGTTAGTGGTGTTTTTCCTTATGAACTGAATAGCCAGGGCAAAAAGAGGTTTCTTTATGATGCCAAGTTCTACTTTTGGGACGAGCCGTACTTATTCAAGCAATGTGCTGATCAAATGATTCGACGGTGTGTCCCCGAAGAAGAACAAAGCGATATCTTACACCATTACCACACATCAACTTGTGGAGGGCATTTTGGAGGTTCGAGGACTGCTGCAAAGGTCCTCCAGTCAGGTTTTTATTGGCCATCATTATTTAAAGATGCCCACGCATTTTGCAAGGCGTGTGACAGATGCCAGCGCACTGGAAATATTTCCAGACGATAAGAAATGCCGCTGCAAAATATTCTGGAGATTGAGCTCTTTGATGTTTGGGGCATCGATTTCATGGGACCATTCCCATCTTCCTTTGGAGATTTATACATTTTGCTAGCAGTGGATTACGTTTCAAAGTGGGTTGAAGCAATTGCTACGCCGAGAAACGACTCAAAGACTGTGCTCAAGTTCCTTCATAAGAACATCTTCACTCGTTTTGGAGTCCCAAGAGCTATTATCAGCGATGAGGGCACTCACTTTGACAACAAGTTGATTGCCAAGGCATTACAGAAATATGGAGTGCAACATAAGATTGCCACGGCATATCATCCGCAGACGAATGGACAGGCTGAAATCTCCAATTGAGAAGTTAAGCAAATCCTGGAGAAGGTGGTTAACCCCCGAAGGAAAGACTGGTCCCCAAAGCTTGACGAAGCATTATGGGCATATAGAACAACATTCAAAATACCTTTAGGAATGTCGCCCTTTAAGATGGTATATGGAAAAGCCTGCCACCTCCCTGTTGAACTAGAGCACAAGGCGTATTGGGCAATCAAAAAGTTAAACTTTGACGAGCAAATTGCTAGGGAGAAACGATTACTTGATCTAAATGAAATAGAAGAGTTTCGAGTGCAAGCATATGAAAATGCCAAGCTCTACAAGGAAAAAACCAAAAAGTGGTACGACAGAATGCTTTTGCCACGGCAATTTCATATGGGTCAGAAAGTACTGTTGTTCAATTCTAGGCTCAAGCTCTTCCCAGGCAAATTAAAGTCACGCTGGTCTGGACCATTTGAAGTTCACCATGTTTACCCTTATGGTGCTGTTGATATCAAGAACCTGGACGATGGATCCATCTTTAAAGTCAATGGCCAGCACCTAAAGGCTTATCAAGGAGTCCCACCTGCACGTGACAAGTCGGCGTTGCTCTTGCAAGACGTTGACACTGGTCCGGCATCTTAAGGATGCCGTGGCATTTTTAACTTACATCTGTACATAAATTATTTTTGTTTTGCCTTTATTTTAATATTTCTCATTATTCAGTAATTATTTTCATTTCATATTTTTGCCAGGGAATCCCACGCACTAAGCACGTGAGGCGTGTTGACGAAGTTGAGAACACTTTGGGCGGCAAAATGAAAAGGAAAAAGGAGGGAAATTTTATTTTGACTTTTGACTTAGGAATGAATTTTTTTTTCATTTTGTTTTCTTTCCCGCCCTACCCCACCGCTTATCTATTCCCCCCCCCAAAATATTTCCATTTAACTAGCCAACCCGAAGTATCACAACCTACTGAGTCGGCCGAGGAGTCACAATCGGAGATGCCACGGCAAACTCCTTTACGTAGGAGCAGACGTCGCCTACGAAAGGCATCTCAACATCAGGAGCCCCCGCTCCCAACTGTTCAAGAAGGCCCTCGCAATCCTCCAGCTGCACCAGTTTCTGACTCCGAGCATTCCAGCCCCGCTAAGCTCCGCAAGCGCACTCGTCGTGCAACTGCTGCACCACCACCATGAAGCCAAGGTACCTTGCATTGCATTGCTTTCATAGCATGTAGTTTTCATTTTTCTTAGATTTAGTAAGCATTGGGGACAATGCTTCTCTCAAGTTTGGGGGAAGTAGGGTTCTCGCATCATTGTATGATAGTATTAGTAAAATGAATATGCCATGACAATAGTAAATATAGAATTAGTTTTCTAGAATTAATTGAGGATGCCCGATGATGAAGAATTCTTGATGGCTAGGATAGAATGTATATGACTGGTTGAGGATGATAGAACCAACTCTAGGACTTGCTTCTTTGAAACCCTTGAACACGAGTGTATGTTTTCCATGCTTGAGAAACTTAGAAATTTTTTATAAGAGAATTCTTAAATGTCGTGGCATAAAACTGTGAATGATGAAAACCCCGCATAAAAAAAAGGAAAAAAAAAGAAAAAAAAAGAAATATAAATTATAGATAAATGCCTTGGTATATCTGTAGAGGAACACTCCGCTATGTCTTGGCATATGAGTGAATGAAATTAGTCACATGATGACTCTACCTGACTAGCTCGGGGGTGAAAGATATGCTCCCTTTCATCTAGAGTGTGGGATGGTAGAGTGATGGGCTGACTCTCCTCGTAGCAGAAGTAATCAAAGAAAACAAAGGGGAGTAGTAATTTGAAAATGTCGTGGCAAATTAAGAAAGCTTGCTTAGAAAATTTTTAGGTTTGTTAAGCATGGACTAGATACAAATACGCACACACCCACACAAAGAATCTTGCCCTAGGGGACAGTACTTGATTTCTCAACTAGTCTAGCATGTTGAAGCCAAATGCTGAGGGCTGAAATTTTATCCCATAAAACTACTCTGCTTCTGAACTTGCCATGGTATTTTTGTTTTGCTTAATACTATCCATTTCTTGAGGACAAGCAATAGCTTAAGTTTGGGGGTGTGATAACTCCGTAAAAAGGACACATTTTGGGACCTTTTCATTTAAGTTATTGAATGTCTAAGAGCACATTTAGGACCATTTAGATGCATTTAGGAGCATATAGTTGCATGTGATGGAATTATGTTTACCGCGACATTTTAATTTGTCATCAGTTCTACCTTATGGGGAAGGTGTTTTTCTAATGATGTGCAGGATTTGAGAGCAAGGAAAAGAAAAAGGAAAATGCCGTGGCATAAGGAGACTGCTGAGCAGAATGAAAATACCGAGTTGGAATGGCATTTCAATAGCACACAAAGTGAAAGAAGATATTTTCGAAGCCAGTTGTTCCCTATTTGCACGTGATCTCTGCCACGCCGCCTTGCTGCAGATCTTGTCTGCTGCGGCAGGATCCTATTGGGTGCCTAGATCAGTGTTGCCACGCCGCCCTGCTGTAGATCTTGTCTGCTGCAGTAGGATCCTGTCGGGTGCTCAGTCAACCACCCAGGCTGGACCATTGCCAGCTGCCCAGCAGGATCACTGTCAGCTCTGCCCGATCATCACGTGAATCAAGCATGATTCGGGGTATCTTTGGAATTTTTACACAAACCTTTAGGGTTTTTCTCCCCTATAAATATATGATGAAGCCACAATGTTAAAAGACTTTAGTTCCAGCCACATTTGATCTTAAAAAAGTTAGATAGAGAAAGTCTCATCTTTCTCCATCAATCCCACTTGCCGTGGCATTTCTCCTTGACTAGCAGAAGGGAGTGGCGTTCTGAGCATCCGAGAGGAGCTAGTCCGCTGGGAGCAGTCCTTGGTGGCCGAGGAAGGCATTTGGCAGTGCACGTCGAAGGCTTTCTCTCCTCCCCTTAGTCCTTGCTTTTATATTTTGTTGTTGGGTTGTAAGGAACGAATGAATCTTGCTTTGTGCTTGTTGATTTCGAGCCCCACCATGAACTAATCCTATTTGGTGGGAGTTCGCATGGTTATTTAAGTTGTTATTTTAATGAATGGTTGTTGTTTCATGCTCTATTCTGTTTTGTTTATGATGCTTAAAGTCTTGAGGTTGTAGGAGCTACGAGAGTAGCCTTTCCTTAGGAGGGTTCATGAGGTTCGAGAGAATGCCTTGGCAATTTATCTTTAGTCTTCGAGAGAAGCTAGGGAGGAACTACATAAACAACGAGTTCTAGATAGTAACTAGGCCTAATCCACCTTAGAGATAAGAATAGGATTTCATTCGACTAAAAGGAGTTGTGTATAAACGATAGGTTAAATGTTAATGTTGCCGTAAAAAGGTATTACCGAGACATATTCTATTAGCTGAGTCAATAGGATCACTGCTTGGGCTTACGCCAATCGGTTTTGCCATGGCATCTTTAGTCTGTCGAGTCCCTTACTAGAGATAGCATAGGGCACATCAGTAGACTCTGTCGGGCAGGGTAAGCATAGAAGAAGCACCATTCAGAGAAATAAACTTAAGTTTTCCTTGTGTCTCCCATCACTCATTTCCATTGCTGCTTGTCTTGTGAGAAGCTAAAGTCCTACATATATTAAATCTAGTATTTGCATTTTTATTTTGCCTTGACATTTCCATTTGTTTTCACGTATCACAATTTAATTTGCCACGACATATCCATCTGCTACCACACTATCATCACTCCATTTCCACTACGTCCATTCCATTTTGCCACTGCATTCTCATCTGTATATACCATAACTAACTTTACTTAGGTGACAAAGTAAAGTGCCTTGACAAACCTATTTGATTTCCCCAATTCCCTGTGGAGACGATACTCTACTTATCACTTTATTACTTGTTCGATTGTGTATACTTGCACACATATCCGCATCATATTTTAGTACTCACAAACAGCGGACAGAACTCATCTGAAGAAGAAAGAAGAAATTCATAATGAGAAGAATTTGTTCAACTTTTTTTTAAATTTATCACTTGATGGATCAACTTTTCCAGAGAAAGTTCATAATGAGAAGAACTCATCTGAAGAAGGAAGAAGAAGTTCATAATGAGAAGAGCTTGTTCGACCTTTTGCATGACTCTATCACAGAAGGAGATATATCATCATCAGCATTTCTAGAAGGAATTCATAATTAGAAGAATTCATCTGAAGAAGAAGAAGTTCACAATGAGAAGAGCTTGTTCAACCTTTGCTAGATTACATCACAAAAGGAGATGAGTTGTCATCCCCAGTGGAAAAGTTCATAATGAGAATAACTAATCCCAAAGAAGAATTAGTTCAACATTTCCATCATAATCAAGTGAAGTCAAATGAAAAAAAACTTATTATCTTTTCGTCTTTGCTCTATTCTTGTTAACACAAGAATAAGCAAAGAGGGGCAGCTGAAGATACTCATTTTTTTTCATTTGAATATTATTATTATTATTATAATTATAATTATTATTTTTGTTTTATTATTAATAAATATTATTACATGCCCAAATACATTACGAGCCCAACCGAGATACATCAGGCCCAACAGTAACCCAGATCCAGATAGCCTAGTAAACCCTAAAACTAGATTAGGGTTTCCATTTCAATACCCTAACCGCCTCAGCATCACAGCCGTTGGATCTGAGAGATCTAACGGCCCACACGTATCCAGAACAAACCCTAGGGTGATGATACCCTAGGGACTATGCGGCCGCCGTTCGTCAACCTCTGCTACCACGCTGCCACGACGCCAACCGAAGGATCCAGAAGGCCTAGCCATAGCCGCACACGTCGACCTCAACGGTGAGTCACCACTGGAAGTTCGGTGACTCACCAAGCTTCAATCTTTTACCCAGTCCGAAGAAGATACCGACGAGGCTTATAAAAGCCGACCACCTGCAAACAAGATAATGACAGAGGGCAAGAACAGAGAGCAAAAAAAATATAGAGAAAAGGAAAAACAGAGACCAACTCACAACAACCAACAATCAACCTAGAAGAGAGAAGGAAGAGTTTACCTTACCGGAGAACCCTAAACGGCGCCTGAGAATAAAAAATACCGAAGGTATTTTCCTTAGATCTAGGAAAATCCATAACTTTTTAGGATAAAAGAAGGGTGAAATCGGGTTTAGGGTACTCGGATTTAGAGTTTGGGAAATTTTGGTATTCTCCGGCCACCAGTGACGATGGCCGACGGTGAGGTTGGCGGCGGTGCAAGGCTGCCGACCGATTACCGGCTTCCCTCCGATGAGGGAAGCTAGAGAGAGGCGAGAGAGAGTTATAAAACTCTCTCTGTTAAGAGAGAAGAGAAGAAATGAGGATGCTGGCCCTTCGGTCCAACCGCTTGGGAAATATATACCCCTTCCCAAACGGTGTCGTTTCGGGTAGGGGTATATGCGTAATTTACATACGTGGACAAACTCGTCCGCAGTCCCACAGATTTGTAATTTTCTAATTTAGTCACTAAATCAATTTATGATCCTTTTAATCTGGTTTAATAATTTTAATTTTATTTATTTTAGTCCTTTGCATAATAATATATATTTGAGGTAAATAACAGATTTAGTCCTTTAATTTTAGAAATTAATATTTTAATTCTGAACAGTATGTTTTAATTTATTTTAATTTGATGTTCAAATTTTACATAATTTTAATTTAGTCATTAACTTTAAATTATTAGTTTATTATTTTTAATTTCATTTATTTTAGTTATGGTTTTAATTTTATATGTTTATTATCAATATATTTAAAATATTATTATAAATATATATATATAAGAAATAATATATTATTTTTTTTTATATAAATTATTTTTATATAAAAAAATATAATCCTATTTTAATATTAAAGAAAATGACTGTCTTAAAGCACCTACAAGTCTGTTTTCTGATATTTTTTTAATATACTAATTTTTAAGAAATATTTTATTTATTTTTTAATATCAAAGAAAAGAGCTGTCTTAAAACACCTAGAAGCCCTTTTCTGATATTTCTAAATAAATAAATATATTATTAATATATTTTCATAAAATTATAAATTTTAAATAATAATATTATGAATTAAATATATCTTTGAAATTTTAAATTTCCAATAATAGAGACAATTTATAATTAATAAAGTACCAATTTTGGGCGTTATAAGGGTGCTAATCCTTCCCTAAACGTAATCGACCACGAATCCTGTTTTACTAAATTTTTTTGGTTATACGCAGATCAATTTTATCTTTTAAATTATGTTTTATTTAAAACTATTTTAAAAGATTATTTTTTCAGGTATTTGACATACCTAACCTCAAAAGGTCAATGGTGACTCCTAAAATATTTTTTTAATCAAAATTATTTTTATCTCCGCCCAGTAAAAATTTGTGCCCGGGCGAAAACCGGTTACGACAATAAACATACGAATTCAATATATCTTTTTCAATCTACAGTTTCTTAACATAACTAAACTTACAAATTTAATTTAAATATACCTTGAAACAACAGTAATTAAAGGGAATTACATAAAATTAAAACAGTAAAAATGGTGAATACGCAGAGGCGGAACAAAGTTAGGATTAGTGGGCCATGGCTGTCCAAAATTTAAAAATTTTGAATTTAGATCTTTAAAATTTTAAAAATTTAATTAATTCTCACAATGTTTTTAAAAATTCAGATTAAATTTTAAAATATTTTTAATTAAATCCTTTCATTATTTTTAAAAATTTTCATTAAATCTCTCTAAATTTCAAAATTTTTGGTTAGATCGTAATCTTTTTGGTAAAAATATAAACTAAACTATTCATTTTTTTCAACATTTTAATTTAAACCTCTAAACATTTTAAAATTTTAAATTAACTCCTAAAATTGTATCAACAAGTTCCGCCACCGTATATATAAAAGACTTGTTTATATAAAAGACAACTTATAAATATATGGCTCGTGCTCGTTTCTGAAAGGCCATTAAGATTCCCACACTATATTTCTGTAACGATATATATATCACAGAAGTTTCAACCACAAAAAGGAAGAAACTTTTTCCCAATTTGGTTTCAAAAAATTTAGAAATTTTCTTGCTTCTATGGTGAATTCTGCTTTCCCATTTCTGGGATTCTTCTCTCGAGTGTTTCTCAAACCATTGAACTGTTTTACAACTCCAGAATATTTAATGGAGAAGGTGGCAAACAAGGTCCATTTGGAACTGCTTGTATTATCATTGCTCTTTTTATCTGCATGTTGTGCTGAAATTATAACCAGGTTCTTGCTTTATTCTTCTATGGTTTTGCTCTCTTCTATTATGCATGTTTTCTCCTTCCAGGCCCTTCTTGGAGACGTGAAAATAGAAAGAAAGAGTGCCTGCCCTGTTGCATTTTGTCCTTGAGCAATCTAATTCTTTGTCTTTGATCAGGGACAGGAAATTACACTCAGCAATTGGCCTTGGCAGCAGCTTCTTATGCTGAAGTACAGGTATACACATCTCACCATCCTCGGCCGTCATTTATCAGGGACAGAAGGCTTTTCACTTACTCTCTATGCTAATGAATCTTTTACGAATGTATTCATAGGTACGATTCAACGATTCGAATGTTGTTCGACCATATTTTACAACGAGGAGAATAGGTTACGACAATGCCGTAGCACGACATTGAATTCATGGAATGTACAGATTGTATAGTATAAATGTGGCTGGTAACAGATTTGAGAAAGGGGAGAACACAATCATTCTCACCCAGAGCAGAAGCATGGGGACATTCAACGCAGTTATGTATGACTATATTCGATTAGAAGGGCCTAAAGTTTAATAAGTACAAGATAGAAATATAGATTCTTTCTTCTTAATGATCATAGCCAGATAGTATATTTCAAGTAAATATTTTTTTGTTTGAAGTAAATATATATTTTTTCCGTATGTGACATTAGTTTTTTATCGTTAAGGATTTTCCCACTTCTCTCTTTTACGAGATAAGATTTGAGTAAACAAGAATACTTCTCTATGTGAATGTTTATATACTTGAAGCTCACAGAAAATGAATATATATATATTCATTCATTCTTTAACACTATTGTTTTTATAACAAATTGATCACTCAACCTTTAATAATCGTTATCTCATTAACAAAAGACTGATGTGACATGTTTTTATGGCTTACTTGTCACCGTTTGGCCACGCTGGACATGATTGACCGACCATTGAAAGAGTAAACAAAAATGAAATAAGGTCGAGAAGAAGATGACAGACTCGATCGATATATCACTGTGCAACGATAGACACATAACTCAGTTAGCCACTACTTGGACAGACAAAAATTATAAGAGGAGATTCTTTGATTGTTTCATATCTCCGTATATGGTTCAATTAAACTGATAACATAAATGAGTAGGATATATTTTTTTAAAATTATAAGAAGAGATTCTTTGATTGTTTCATATCTCTGTATATGATTTAAAAATCTCTAGCTTTTAATTTGTTTTTCGTTATCATGGTTGGATTTTCAGCTGCTACAGGTCAGTATGTGGAGCGGCATACACTCCATTCTTGGGAATTCAATTCAGTTTGAATTGTAGAAAACGAAACACACGGCGAACTGTGAGAAATGTTAGAATAGTTATCGATGTCTTGGTTCCTCTGGTTGTTCTGATGGCAGGGACAGTTGTAGCATTTATAGTTGGGTGAAGGATTTCAAGTGGATCCAGACATGGTAAAAAGGAGTATGTGACTGAAGTGAAGGTCATTATCCAGTTGAGACACAGGAATCTGGTGCAACCTATTGGTTGGTGCCACGATCGAAATGAGTTCATACTCGTCTATGAATTCATGCCAAATGGTAGCCTTGATTCCCACCTCTTCCGTGACAAAGATCCACTGACTTGGTCTGTGAGGTACCGAATATCGCTTGGATTGGCATCTGCAATTCTATACCTTCATGAAGACTGGGAGCAGCGTGTGGCGCACCGAGACATTAAATCAAGCAACGTAATGCTTGCTTCCAGTTTCAATGTCAAGCTCGGTGACTTCGGGTTGGCTAAACTCATGGACCATAAGCTAGGTCCCAAAACAACAGGGTTGGCTGGAACCTTAGGCTACTTGGCTCCGGAATACATAAGTACAGATAGGGCTAGTAAGGAGTCGGATGTTTACCAACATTATGATTACTTCAAGGCAAAGAGATGGTTACCAACAGTATTTAATTCATTAATATCACTATAATGCCACAAAGTAGCTTTCTGATGCCTATAAAATTGATTCAAGTCAATTCTGGAAATGCAAATATTTATATTATACAGGAAAATAAGAAGAGTCTTGAGCTTGCATCATTCCCTTATTATATTAAGAAATTATAAATACTTCTTTTGTTTAATGTTTCTTTCTAAGCCTTTTTGACAATGAAATTTCATATTTTATAGAAGAATTGCCTTCATATTTTTTTGGTATGATTGAGGTGATGACAATATATTTTAATTACCAGGATGACTAAGCTTTTAGAATGAAATGCCACTGTTCAACTCTTTATGTTCTGGCCAAGGACTTCATCATGTGAGATGGATGAGGCTGATGCATCCCTTCTGAGATAGCTCCATGCAGTTGACTTTAATTAAGAAAATTGAGACGGTGAAGTTTTTCCTGATTTCTGACTAACATATGATTGAAACCTTTCAATTGAAAAATATTCGAATCATGTCATCATGTTAGTCATAAATCAGGAAAAACTTAGATTACCTTACAGATAATACCATTGTTCAACTCATGTTATCCTAGTATTATCATTGTTATGAACAAGCATGTCACTTTCAAGAGAAGCATTGATGCCGATATCCTTGTATATCATACTCTTTTAATTTTATTTTACTAAATCTTCCTTCTTCCGTTTGTCTCTTCACTCAACTTCAATATTCCTAGACTTCACCAACTACACACATAAAATAAGCATGATCATCTTTTAAGAGGGTCATTATTTAATTTCGGCCATCTTCATTTTGTCAAAAAATAATAGAAGAACAATTACATGAAAATTGAAAAATAACTAAAAAATATTATTTTAGAATTGCTGTTAATTTTTTATAGATGGGCAATCAAAACATAACCTTAAACATGATTTTGAAAACAAAAATTGTATGACCAAAACAGAAATAAAATAATACGTGGATCACTAAATAAAAAATTTACTTTTTTTCAATTATTTGTGGATTTTTTATTTTTTTCAATTATTATGATTTTGTATCTTTATCGTGTTGGTTGGGCCACATACGCCGAGAGGGTGACGCTTTGGAACTCCAACGCTAGTAAGATCATTGACTTCACCTCCTGTTTCATGACCAACATTGACATACGGGCTCCTCAACTTATAGCCACAAGTTGTATGATAAGGATAATATAATAATAATAATACAATATCGTAGGAATAATAAACAATATAATGCCGTAACAATAAGAATACAATAAAATATTATTGCAATATTATTTAGTAGCAATATAATGTTGTAGCAGTAATGCTATAAAACACATTGAAAAAAAATTAGAAAGATAAAGTTAGAACAAGACATGTAATCAGGCAGAGTTAGATAAACATAAGAATTTTTTTTTGAGGTATGTTAGAACAATTATTTTAGGAAAGACTCATCATCTCCTCGGTGTCTTCAGTAACGTTAGAGGCCAGTTTTCAGAAAAAATAAACGATCACAATAGTAAGTATAACAATAGTGGATAGTCGAATACGGTCTTGCCTTTCTCTATCATCAAAAAGGATAAATTTGGAAGGAATTTTTCTAAATCTTATTCTTTTTCAAAATCGTGTCTAAATTGTGTTTCAATTAGTCTTTATATATAATTGAGAGGAAATGAATTGAAAGGTTAAAATCATTTGGTGAAGAGAATTGTTAAAAATCTAATAGACATGATTGAATGAATTCAATATAAAAATAAATAAATAACAAGTCTATTCACCAAGTGACATGACATATTATTAGCATCAATATCATTAAATTAATTCCTTATTTTTTCAACAATCCTCCACATGAATGAAATTAATTGTTTAAAAACAATAACTCGATGTAGTGATAGATTCTAGATTCAATACTTGCATAGGATAGGTAAGCATCCCTTTTGAACCTTTATTCCTTTGTGAAAATATGTTTACCTTACTGGTTGTCCAGTAAACATGATATCCTTAAATTATCGTGTTATTTGTGTAAGCGACGATATACTTCACAAAAATACTTATCTGACAAAAATTTAGTTCTATAATGTCTTTAAGAGTTTAGAGAACTTTGCCCTAATAGTTTCCTTAAAGTGATTTCATTTCACTCTCACATAGATAATTTATGTTATTTGGTTCATTGGAATTATTGATAATCTATCATATCATATGATACCATAAAGTAGCTTTCTGATACCTATAAAATTATGATTCAAGTCAATTATGAAAATACATATATTTATATTATACAAAGAGAGAGAGAGAGAGTCTAGAACATGTAGTTAAACCTTAAAAAGGTGTTTCCTTGGCAGTAATGACATGAAGAAAACTTTGATTTGGATAATCAATTCTTATCTTGGAATAAGAATTATATTAAGGGATAGACTGAGGTGCAAGGTGGAGCGGGTGAGAGTTGTAGTCCCCTGAAAATTTCAAATTATCATATGTTTTAGATATTTATTTTTTATTTTCTATTGATAATTTATTTTTAACATCTAAAAATTTAATAAATTTTGTCCTCCTAACATAAAGTAATATATATATATATATATATAGAAGAATTGACTTCATTTTATTGGTATGATTGAGAGATGAAAATATATGATAAAGATATAGAAGAATTGAATTCATATTTTAGAATGAAATGCCACTCCTCATGATTTGGCCGAGGACTTCATCATGTGAGATGGATGAGGCGGATGTATCCCTTCTAAGATGGATTCTGACTAACATAGGATTGAAACATGGACGACTGAACATAGGATTCTCCTAAACATAATTAAATTTGAGTTGTGAATTGGTGTTACTGTTTCAAATTAAGGTAGGGATTTAAATTATGGTTGCAGTCGTATATCCATTTGCGTTTATCATGACTACAACAATAACGAGTGTTACTGGAGTTATAGCGTCTGTTATGTCCGCAATTGCGATAAACACAACACACCAAAAAATACAACCGCAATCACAATTTAGATCTCTGGATCAATTATCTTTACCGTGATGGATGGGCCACATATGTCGTGAGGGTGAGGCTTTGGGACTCCAACATTGGTAAGATGTCCGACTTCACCTCCCGTTTCACGGCCACCATTGACACCCAAGACTCATCAACTTATGACCATGGGTTGTATTATGTAATAAATATATGAGGTTGTAGTAAAGATAATCTAACAACAGAAATACAATACCGTAGTAAGTCACTTTATGGCATTACTTAGATCAAAAGAGACAAATGTAATACCCCCGCTAAGGGTCCTCCATATATCAGTGTACCTTGTTCCTATGGAAGAGTCCTAAAAAGTCTTTGAATCTATGGTACCGAGGGACCTCCAGAAGACGTAAAGAGAAAATTTTTGGAAGAAAGATTCCGAAGATATAAATTTCAAGAAATCATAATTTGTTGACACGATCTCTCACAGACCACATGATCTTACAGAGTCAAATCCACTGCCATATGACTGTATCCACCTAGCCCGCCAATATACAAGTAGTCATTATAACCCTATGGCTGACACACACACTAACAAATTCCTATATAATCTCTCGAGCATGAACAAGAGACGAGATGCAACCACAATGAAACCACCTCACTTAAACTCTTCTCTTCTCCACCTCTTCTTGGAGATAGAGTTCATAGACAACGACCAACGATCAATTTTTGATTAATTGTGTATTGGGATCGCTGATACATCCCAGGGTGCAGTGAAAAAAATAATTTGACGATCTCACCAGTGATCCATGTACGAAAATCGAATTCAGGAGGAAGTGATATGTGACTTATCTTGGGTTCCTTGAATAATAGCAAAATAATAATAATAATAAAAGACCCTATTCCTATATGTAATGGGGTAAGGGGGAGTGAGGGTAGTAGGCTGCCCCCAACGCCAGGTTGAGAGCAGCTTCCGTGAAAGACCTCCGTTATGAATTGCCATCAGTGAGAATCCTTAGCCCCCATGATATCGTCTCGGCCTCTACTCAGTTCACCCGATTGAGACCACATTTTTTCTTTTTCTCAAAAACTATTTCGAGAAATTTCGACAAAGAAAATTAAAAAACGGCTACTAGACCATCATATTCCTTATATGATGTTGTTACCATAACCCTTAGGATTTTTACGAATTATTAATAAAAGAAAACAATTACATTAATTATTTTCTATTAATATTCATATTAAAATTACAAAATATGTTTTGAGAAATTTCGATAAAAAGAAATTAAAAAACGGCTGCTAAACTATCATATTCCTTTTTATATTCATTCAATATATATGGGATAATTAAAATTACACATATATATATTATATATATAGTAATCTTAATTATACATTTTAATTCAAGTACAATCAAATTACACAATTATAGCTCATTAGATATTTGTTCATTCCAACCCTGAGGTGTGACCCTGTAAGTTCTTGTAACATTAGTAGTAGTTATTAGAACCATTTAAAAATTATAAACAATGAGTGACATCTAGCAATGTATCATTCTCCTAAGTACAAGAAGTCATGATTCTATATAACATCTTCGTGGCTAATTTCTTCATGTATTATATCCTTTTGTCCTTTATATTTAGAATAGACACAAGTCCTGAAACAGTCACTTGAATAGTCTATCTAATATTTCTTGATATCTAGAGTAGATTATTATAAACGAACAACTTCTGATATCTCATATCAATTTGTTCAAGCATGACCATGCATTTTTAGCCATGAAGGTATAATGTGACTAGTTACGGAGCATGTTTAATTGTATCAAAACACACAACAATATATGTTGAGATAGCAATGATCTAAAGTCTGAGGATCATACATGTAGTCAACACCAAGAATAATATTATGACCATCACATAATAATCCAAGACATATACTCGTAGCGGGTCAATCCAATATGTCGTTCTCTAAAAACATGCCCATATATCGATTTTGACATCTCTATGTTAATGACAACTCAATGTCATCAATCAACTATATGTTGGGCTTGAACGTATTATTATTGCTCATGCCCATAATAATATTTGGCTAATGATCTTTTAATAGCAATAATATTATTATTTGAACTTCATCATCTTTCAGTTTATATAAAACATATAATTATAACTGAAAAATAATAATGACAATGTATTTATTCAATTAACACGAGAAAGAAAATACATTTGTTCAATCATCTTATGATTGATCTTTGGACATACTCTAACATTGCGTCTCTTCACCTAAAATTTATATTTTTAGATAAGAAGTAAACTGTCAATAACCAACACGACCCATTTAAACCATCAAAATTTTGTTTTTTTTAGATAAGAGGGATGTATTAAGTCTCAAGAACATTAATGAATCAATTTGGGATAACACCTGCAAAAGTAAACTTCTGGCATTAGAAATATTATACTTTCGCAATGTTTTATTTTGAGGTAATGATATAATTTATGGTTGATAATCTATAAGATATGACTAGCAATTGTTTAATAAATAATTTAAGGAAAAATGGGATTGTTGTCTTTTTCAACTAAAATATTTTCTTCGTTTATGGCTGAATTCAACTCGGGAGGAAATGGCTTTATCGATTGTTCAATGTAACTTCATAAGCTAAAATCTAGCTGAACCTAGATGCGTGATTGAAAAGCAATAACACTATTAGTTTAATATTGTTTCTGGTAAGTCAATGCTTCAATATATTATTTAATGTAACATCTTTACAGATGTTCTGAAAATTCCTCATCTTGAATAGCAATGGCTAACCCTTTCTCTGGTGTGTTAAGTTTGCTTCAGCTCCTTCTCTTCACTTTCATTCTTCCTTGTGTTAGTTCTATTTCCTTTAATATAACTCGTTTCGACTCGGATGCAACCGACGTACTCTACCAGGGTTCCGCAAGGCCTAATGTTGGAGCTGTTGAATTCACTAGTCTCACTTATATGTGTCAAGTTGGTAGAGTTATCTATGCCGAAAGCGTACCGATTTGGGATTCTGAGACTAGACAAGTTACAGACTTCACCACTCATTTCTCCTTCATCATCGACACCCAAGGTCAAGCTAGATTAAACTATGCAGCAGGCCTTGCTTTCTTTCTTGCTCCTATTGGCTCCGAAATTCCACCAAATTCGGCAGGTGGATTTCTAGGCCTGTTTAACACTACGACCAGTGATTCTTCTAGGAACCAGGAAGTCCATGTTGAGTTTGATACTTTTCCCAACCCTGAATGGGATCCTTCAGTCGAGCACGTTGGGATCAACATCAACTCGATTTCTTCGGTTACGTACGCTCCCTGGAACTTTAGTTTGTACAGTGAAGTCACTGCTGACGCATGGATTTCTTATAATGCTAGTACTAGGAACTTGAGCGTCACTTGGAGTTATCAGAACTCTACTTCTCAAGGGAATTCTAGTCTTTCTCACCAAATTGACCTGTCTGAAATTCTGCCAGAAACTGCCATAGTAGGGGTTTCAGCTGCTACAAGTTACTTTATAGAGCGACATCAGCTTGTGTCATGGGAGTTTAATTCTAGTTTGGAAAGAAAGGCAACTAAGGCAAAAAACAGGAACAGGATCAGAATAACTGTTGGTCTAGCAGTTCCATTCGGTGTTCTAATAATCGGGGGATGCATAGGATTTCAGATTTTATTTTGGTTGAGGAGGAAGAGATCATATCGAAATATTGAACGGACTTCTGGCATTAACGATGACCTTGAAAAAGGGACTGGGCCAAGAAAGTTTTCTTATAGAGATCTTGCCTCAGCTACCAATAACTTCTCAGAACATAGGAAGTTGGGTGAAGGAGGATTCGGTGCAGTTTATAGGGGGTACCTGAATGATTTGGGCATGGCAGTTGCGGTTAAAAGGATTTCAAGTGGGTCCAGACAGGGTAGAAAGGAGTATGTGACTGAAGTGAAGGTCATTAGCCAGTTGAGGCACAGGAATCTGGTGCAACTAATTGGTTGGTGCCACGATCGAAATGAGTTCATGCTTGTCTATGAATTCATGCCAAATGGTAGCCTTGATTCCCACCTCTTTGGTAACAAAGCTCCTCTGACTTGGCCAGTAAGGCACCGAATATCACTTGGATTGGCATCTGCAATTCTATACCTTCATGAAGAGTGGGAGCAGTGTGTAGTGCATCGAGACATTAAATCAAGCAATGTAATGCTTGATTCCAGTTTCAATGTCAAGCTCGGTGACTTCGGGTTGGCTAAACTCATGGACCATGAGCTAGGTCCCAAAACAACAGGGTTGGCTGGAACCTTAGGCTACCTGGCTCCAGAGTACATAAGTACAGGTAGGGCTAGTAAGGAGTCAGATGTTTATAGCTTTGGGGTCGTGCTCTTAGAAATTGCAACCGGAAGGAAATCGGTTGATCCTGGAGGAAAATCTGATATGGGATTGGTTGAATGGATATGGGGTCTTTATGGGAAAGGGGAGCTACTTTTGGCTGTTGACAGGAAATTGGACAAGGATTTTGATGAAAAGCAAATGGAATGTTTGATGATTGTTGGACTGTGGTGTGCTCACCCAGATTGTAATTCGAGGCCATCAATCAGGCAAGCAATTCATGTTCTTCATTCGGAGTTACCGATGCCTAATCTGCCTGTGAAGATGCCTGTTCCTATGTATCATGTATCTTTACCATCAGTCTTCCCTGGCTCTGAGGAACCTTCAGTAACTTATTCAAATTCAAGCTTGAATGTGGGTCGTTAAACATGCTTCACCTTATGCTCTATGTAGTTCTAGTTTCTTTTTCTTTTCAATTTCCCTGTTGAAAATTTGACATTTTATGTTGATGTATAAACACCACTTGCACGGTTACTTAGAAGGATGTAGTCATAAAGATTGATTAAAATGTTTGCACTGAATGTCTTCGGTTCACATATAAAAACTTTATATTTTATGCCTATATTTCCGATCTGGTGCTGGTTCTTAATTGAGGCACATATTTGCACACATGTGCCTGAGTTGAATTAATCTTTCCGTGCGTTGGTTATCAAGGTAAAGTCATAGTTACCAACATTATTTTATTCATCAACATTACTAAAATATTTCAAAGTAGCTTTCTTATGCCTATAAAATTATGATTCAAGTCAACTCTGGAAATGCATATATTTATTTATACAGGAAGACTCTAGAGCATTTAGTTAAACCTTTAAAAAGGATAACTAATAGAATGATATTCGAATTTCAAGGTAGGCACTTGTCTATCATGAGAATAAGCTACATCATCCCTAGTTAAAATCTATGTTAGATGATCCAACGAAGTTCTCAAGATCTGGTGTGATAATACAAGCATAGTTACATTGGTTGTTAATCTGATTCTTCATGCTAAAATCAAACATGTAGAATCTGATCTTCATTTTGTTCAAGATAGGATACTTGGTAAACAACTGCAAATTAATTATATACAGATTAAACTTTAGTTTGCAGACGCATTGATCAAGGCTTTACCAGTCAACACTTCCCCATATTTCGTCAAAAATTAAGAGTCTGCTCAAGATCATACTACAAGAGGAAAACCCAATTTCCTATATTTGTACATGCACTAGCTAATCCATTAATCTGCAGGTGCTTCTAATCGGATATAGTCGTACATAACAGAATCGAATGAGCCATCGGTTCTCGTCTGTGTTAGAAAGATTAACATCTGATTTCTTGAACCTACCTGGTTGGATAGTGATATTGAGATCCAATTTGTAGTCTCCGATGAAACCATCTTCTATATAATCCATTAATCCATTAATCTGGGAACCCAAAAGATTATATAAAAAACCTGGTTAAACTTGAATTATGCGTGAGACACAAGTTATATTAACCTTTCCTTCCGTTTGCCATGATCCTGCATTTCTAGGCGCTGCCAACCCCACAAAGGCGGATCGCGCCTGCATCGGTTCGTCATCCAAGCATCTGAACCCACCGAATGAAGAGAAGATTAGTAAGAGAAGAGAAAAGAAGAGAGTTACAGATGCAATGGATGTGGGATGAATAAACAAATACCGGTCTCGCACTAGTAATTGACCGCAAACTTCTCCTCGTTCTTCAGCGCAAGGAAAATCATGTGATCAAGTGAAATTGTAAGGCCAACTTTCAATTTCTTCACTCAGCTAATGGTACACAAAAGGTGTTAAATGAGTTGTTTCCACATTACAACTTAAACCCAAACCAGATACCGGCTAACAAACCTGTCTTTTAGCGTCATTCCAGAGTGTGTTGTGGTAATCATCGTCGGAAGAAGCAGAATTAAGATAGATTAACACGGGACCAAAAACTTTTCTCCAAGCTTCCCCTTTCTTATATGTTACATCTATGTCGATCCCGGTATAGTGAGTACTAACAAACATCTAGTTCACGTAAGCAGTCAAGTTTTAGACAAGCATTTGAAGCTGAATGGAAGCTGATATGTTTGAGTTGGCATTGTAAACAGACTTACAGATAGAGCTATGGGACCAACATGAGAAGTGAGGTCCTGTTTGTTTGGACCACCGGTTCGGAATTCATTGCTAGGGGTGATTATCCAGAACCCCACCGCATCGTCATCGGATATCCACCCATGAAGCTTGTTATCTTTGTTTTCACATGAATATTGGTACTTGTCATCAACCTGTACCCGACAATTTATCACGGACTAGCTATTACATTGACAAAGGAGAGATACAGACAAAAGGAAACACATGTTTTTCAACGCCTGGAATCTCAAAAGTAAAATTTAGAAGAAAATACCTCTCCTTTGAGTTGTGGATTGGATGGATTGGTTAATAGAACAGCTTCCTTGAAGGCAAGAATCTGACTTCGAGTACTATCTCGATCTTCTCCCCTAGGCATGATCCCTCGTCTGGTGTCTGATATCGCCATGAACCCGAACCTGATTCAAAATGTCACACGAAACAATCGACGCTAATTGTTTTCTCAACTCTTGGCAATATAGGATTATGTTATGTAGTTGTCAAGGGTTCATCTTTGTTTTACTTGTCTGCATTGAGCTTGAAGACAATCCTTAATTGATACATCAGAGCATCCGGAAAATCCTCCTCGCGCTCGAAAACACCATACACGTATAGCCCCGGAACGCCTCGTCGGACTATGAACCTGGAAGAATGTTTAAACTAAGCTCAAGGGTTAAACTCAAGCTGCACATTCAAACTTGGTGAAGATTTCATACCTTTTATCAATGTTCAAGGGAACTGTCTTGCCATGATCTGTTGTAAAATTCCTGTTCTTGGTAAAGGAAAGCTCTACAAAGTCATCAGTATGTGCTACAACCTTGACATATTTTGTTTCCATCCTGCGAACAACAAGAATTAAAAAAAAATAAAGCGTAACTTACGCATTTAGTACCTAAATTATCATTCTTTGTATATTTTAGCACCTAAACTTTCAATGTTTTCAAAATCATACCTAAAGTTTACTTTTTGTTTCATTTTAATACCTCTTCGTTAAAAACTTAATGCGTTTAGTACCTAAACTATCAGTTTTGATCCGTTTTAATATCAAATTTTCAATTTTTTTCAAAACTTAATGGAAGGGTACTAAAATAAAACAAAAACTGAACTTTAGGTATAGTTTTGAAAAGATTGAAAGTATAGGTATTAAAACGGATCAAAACTGATAGTTTAGGCACTAAATGCATAGTTTACCCAAAAAGAAATTACAGATATTCAAGACATCATGTATGTATAAATGGAGGAGAACTCACTTGTCAAAGATATAATCATCCCAAACAAAATCCCAGTACCTAGAATTAGGGATGTACGTAGAATTTTACGTTAAGGAGAACCGTTACCACCCGGAAAAATCCACAAAAGAAAAGAAATCTACGCAATGGAGAAATTTTGTAGCACTAGAAGAGACCCTCTATTAGAGTCTGGGTTTCTACATTCAAGCACATTAGCCGTCCTCATGTATTTTATTCCCATCACATGACCAGATGGGCTCTGGATAGTGACTTCAACAAGTCCATTATCAACAGTAACCTGAAAAAAGGTCCATTTCATATGAAGAATCATTTTCTTGGTACAAAAAACAATCGAATGTGATGTGATCTTACTTCGTGTTCACTTCTTTCCAACCTGACATGAGTGTTACAGTCTACTTCCTGTAGGATTTTTCTGCAGATCAAACATGCAACTGTTGGGGAAAACGGGTTATTTCCCACACGAACGTAGTTTTAAAATTGACCTAAAATGTCAAGATTAAAACCACCAAAGGTTGCACAACGGATAAACCTATCAAACTATTGAATATTGAAACACAATGGAAAAGAACCAAATAAAAAACAATAAAGGAGAGAACACACCAAATTTACGAGGTTCGACGAGAATATCGTCTACTCCTCGGGCACCACACCGGATGATAACTTCACTATATCGCCAATATTACAACAAATGGAATTCTTTGGAATTCCCAAAGTGGGAGAATGAAGAATACAAGAGGAAGAGAGAACTTGTTTTTGGGATGATTTCTAATGGAAATACTTAGGCCTATTTATAGTTGAGTTTCAAGAACAATATGTTCAAAGTTTGGCCACCTACCAAAGAATTTTCCAATGTGTACAAGTTAGCCACCAAATATGAAATTCACATGTTCAAAGTTTGGCTACCAACCAAGATGAAATTTACAATAAGTTGGCCACCAACCAAGATGAAATTTCCAACTTGTCAACTTAATTTCTAGACAAATCTAACAAATCTCCACCTTGGCTTGAAATTACCAAGCCTACTCAACTTCTTCAACTCCCCAAATTTTTAGTGCCTCTAATTGCGCTCACAAGCGTCACACACCCGAAGGTGTTCATACTTTCAGGATGTTAATCAAGTTCAAACAATGATTGAACTTGATTACTGTTACCACCTTGGTCATCATATCTGCAGGATTTTCTGATGTCGCAATTTTCTGAAGTATATCTTTCCTTCTTCAAAGATCTCCCGCACAAAGTGATACCTCACGTCGATATGCTTAGTCCTTGAATGGTAGACTTGATTTTTCACTAAGTGAATAACGCTCTGACTGTCACAATAGAGACTAATGTGACTTTGAACAACTCCCAAGTCTTCCATCAACCCGTTAAGCCAAATTGCTTCCTTTACAGCCTCTGAAACTGCCATGTATTCTGCCTCTGTAGTAGACAAGGCCACCGTAGATTGCAATGTAGACTTCCAACTTACTGGGGCTTTAGCAAGAGTAAACAATACCCAGTAGTTGATCGACGCTTATCCAAATCACCAGCATAATCAGAATCAATATATCCAACCATACACTGACCAAGTGCTTCATCTTGTTCAAAAACTAAACCAACATCCACGGTTTGTTGGAGATACCGTAGAATCCATTTCACAGCTTGCCAATGTCCTTCTCCAGGTCATGCATGTACCTGCTCACAACTCCAACTGCTTGTGAAATGTCAGGACGCGTACACACCATTGCATATATCAAGCTCCCAACTGCATTAGCATATGAAACTTTTGCCATGTACAATCGTTCTTCATTAGTTTTAGGAGATAATTGAGAACTAAGTTTCAAATGAGAAGCCAATGGGATACTGACATGTTTGGTATTTTCATTCATGCTAAAACATTGTAATACCTTTCGCAGATACTGCTTCTGTGTTAAACAAAGCTTCCCTCTCTGTCTATCTCCATACCAAGAATCTTCTTGTCCTCACCTAGATCTTTCATCTCAAACTCTTGATTCAACTGAGCCTTTAATTTGTCTATCTCCTTTTGACTCTTCGAAGCGATCAACATATCGTCAACGTACAAGAGAAGATAAATGAAAGATCCATCTTTGAGCTTTTGCAAA